GACAGGGATGTCTGTCTTCACTGCTCTTATTCAACGAACTACAGGAAGTCCTAGCCACAGCAATCAGACAAGAAAAAATAAAAGGCATTCAAATTGTAAAGGAAAAAGTAAAACTGTCATTATTTGCAGGTGCCATCATACTATATATAGAGAACCTTAAAAATTTCACCAAGAAACTTCTAGAACTGATAAAAATATTCAGCAAAGTTACAGGATACAAAATTAATATCCAAGGATTTCCAGTCAACCTGGAGGCATAAGTAAACACAGCTCAACTCCTCATACAACCTCCCAACATTACAGCTAATCTACAGAACAAATATCACTCAGAATGGTCAGATAATTGAACTGTATAGAAGTCTAACAACTAAGGAATTAAAGAAACCACATTTAGCTACACAGGTAAGAGGAAGGGGCAAAGATGCAGAACAGGCTGGTCACAAACCCATGTGTCGTGACTATAAAATTATGGGATATCTCAGGAGTGAGGTATTCCAGCCCCACCCAGACCACCCAGCCAGCTTTCTAGTGTCAGGAAAATAAGTCCCCATAACTTCTGGCTGTAACAAACCAGTAAGGATTGGGTTGGCAGAAGAAACTGTGGGATTCTCAGACCTCTTCTCTTAAAGGGCCTCATACCGCACATAGACTTACTCAGATTCATTACCTCTGGGCTCTAGCACTGGGGAAGCACTTTGAAGGGCACCAGTGACATATGGGGAACTAAAGTGTCTGGCATCAGGGCAAGAGCTGAGGGACAGCTTCCTCCCAGACATAACTGAAGACAGCAGCCATTGTACCTTTTCTGAGCCCTTATGTACACAGAGCCACAGTGTGGTGGCACCATATTTGAATCTCTATCAACTTGGCTCTCACAGTAAACCCTGTCCTGACAATTACGTAAAAGTCTGCCCCATCCAACTTATAGGCCAGGCTGATAACAGTGGCTTTTCCATATGAAAGGCTAGGCTAGGCACAAGCTTCAGACCTTCCTAAATCTGCTCAAGCAAGCAACTGCTGAACCCAGCCCCCACACCTCTCACTGAGTGGCCCCAAGCTCAGCACTAGCAGCAGCCATCTGCGGATCACTTTATAGCTTACATCAAGGGACCCCAAACAAAACACAGGTGGAGGCTGACCTTGGCCTGTACCACCCTGGAAACCTCAGAGTCTATGCCTGCAGTGGACAGTTACAGACCATGTCAGAGTACTACCCAAACCACTTCCACAAGCCATGGAGGGAGGTAATTGCCAACCAGGGGTCATAGGCAGTTCTACCAGCTGTCTGGAATGGGTAAATCCCTCCCATTGACCTTCTGACAGCAATCAAGATTCATCTACAAGAGGAGGGAGAACTCAGCCCACGTGGAGGGCACACCTTGAGTACCCAGCTTGGAAAATAAGGGAGGCTGTGCCACTGGGCCCTACAGGACACATACTACATTAGGCCATGCCACCAAGACACAGAATCAAAGCAGCTCTACCAAATACATAGAAACAAACACAGGGAGACTTTCAAAATGAGAAGACAAAGAAATATGGGCCAAATGAAAGAACAGAACAAAATTCCAGAAAAAGAAATAAATGAAATGGAGATAAGCAATTTCTCAGATGCAGAGTTCAGAACACAGGTTATGAGGATGCTCAATGAACCCAATAGGTAATTCAACAGCATAAAAGTGACCCAATCAGAAATGAAGGAGACATTAATTGAAATAAAGAACTATTTACAGGGAATCAACAGCAGAGTGGATGAGGCCAAGAATCAAATCAATGATTTGGAACATAAGGAAGAAAAAGACAACCAATCAGTACAGCAAGAAGAAAAAAAAAATCAATGATAGGATAAGGAACCTCTAGAACAACTGCAAATGTTTCAACATTCACATCGTAGGGGAGTATAGAGAGAAAAAGCAAGAAATTAGAAACCTATTTGAAAAAAATAATAAAAGAAAACTTCCCTAATTTGGTGAAGAAAATAGATATACAAGTCCAGGAAGCACAGAGAGTTCCAACAAAATGGACACAAGCAGGACCAGACCAAGATGTATCATAATTAAAATACCAAAGGTTAAAGAGAATCTGAAAAGCAACAACAGAATAGCACATAATTACCTACAAAAAAGTTCCCATAAGACTGTTAGCTGATTTCCCAAAAGAAACTCTTCTGCAAAGGCTGTCCAGCCTTGCCTTTGGTCTTTTACCAGAGCATGTTTTCTCATGGAGAATTTCCTACTTGTGGCACTCTTTGGAATCTGGAAAGGCCGAGACTCTCCCAAATCACCAAGTGCTGGTTCCTTGTGCTAAGAGTTCCTGCTTCAATCCATTCCCTTCCTCTCACATATACTACAGGCAGCAAAGGAAAACAAGGGTACACCTTCTATACTTTGCTTGGAAGACTCCTTAGCCAAATATCTAAGTTCATTGCTTACAAGTTTTGCTTCCTTGACTAGTAAATCAGAAAATCATAGAGCCATTGACACTAAAAGGGTTGAAAAGTAGGCTGGGGGAAAACAGATACACAAAAGCAAGAGGAGCATTAAATTTCTGTTTGCCACACTCCTTCCACATATCGAAGTACATATAAATATGTAAGATCCAACAGCCAAGTTATATCTTTATAAGGACAAGAATAGCAAAAGACCTCAGAATACATTCCCTCTCAAACATCACTGTCTACTTAATAAGGCTGACTATCACTGCCTCAGCCCTCCCCCATACTCTTGGTCCTGGCATTGCAGTCACTGATCCTGTCATCACATATCTTTTCCTCCCTCTAGACTCTAGAGTCTAGAGCCTCAGGTACTACCAATTCAAAGTTTGTCTCCCACAGAGCCATCTTCTGACACTTCCTACTACTAGTTGCTCTCCCAGGGTGCAGACATGTCTTTTCTCAGGGCAGAGGGATACTAGATTAGGGTGGCCCTAAGGGGTCTGCCTAAGAGAGCACAAGAAATAGAAAGGAATTTAGTATTTCATCCATTCTCTGTTCCAGCTAAGAATTAATACACAATCACTATTTTAATCTTAATTTGTTAAATGTGTTAGGTTTATTTTCATAATTTTGTGCTATTTTTTAATGTTTATACTTTTAGTTCTTATACAACATAGATCTGATTTAATCCAGGACTAATGGTCTTCAGAGGAGGGTACACAACAGCCAGTTGAAGAGGGAATGATGACCCACAGTGTCAATGAAGGCCCTAGGACATGAAAGGGCAGGGCCTCACCCTCTAACTCCTGCTGCCACACCAGGGAGCCCTGAAACCTGGCCAGTCTCAGGGGTACAAAAGAAGCTTTTCTTTGGTTGGTCCTCCCTGGTCAGGAGACTCTTCCCTGTTACCCCTAGTCTTGGATGAGGAAATAATAGTTATACGGCCATAAAATAAGTGGAGGGGGAAGAGTGAAACCTGAGATTTCCTTTATCTAGGGAAAGTCCTGGCCATTCCATTCCTCTTACCCTTAAAACACCCTTTCCTAGATCCTCTCTGGATGCCCTAGACCAGGAATAGCCAACACAAGGCACAGGTACTCCTTTGGCCTCCCTTGCTCAGGGAAGATACTGCAATCATGGCCCTCCTTGCCCCAATGTGATGGTTAATTTTGTGTGTCAACTTGGTTGTGCCACTGTACCCAGATATTTGGTCAAGCATTATCCTGGATATTTCTGTGAGGTCTTTTGAGTTGAGACTAACCTTTAAATGAATAGACTGAGTAAAGCAGATGTATTTCCACTGTGAATGTAAATATAATCCAGCTGAAGGCCTGAATAAAAAAAACACTGACCTCTCCAGAAGAAGAGGAAATTCTGCCAGCCTTGAGACTCAAATTTCAACTTTTCCCTGGGTCTCCATCTTGCTGGTCCACTCTATGGATTTTGGATTTGCCAAGCCTCACAATCATGTGAGCCAATTCTTTAAAATACATATTCTCTCTCTCTGTACACACACACACACACACACACACACACACACACACACACACACACTTTTGGTTCTGTTTCCCTGGTGGACCCTGACTAATAGAGCTAGCGAGCTGTAGAGCTGTTATCAACATAGCCCTCCAAGGAGAATTCCCATTATCATGCAAACTAAGCTCATTAACCAAGGGCTGCGAATACATCCTGGTTGTATATACAGGGCCAAGCATCCTGGTTGTATACACAGAGCAAGGATATGCTACCACTTCCCTGTACTCTGGGTTCCTCAGAACTAGAGAACTGCCCTGGACACCAAATTCTTAGTAGGGTCTTCCTACTTCTAACTAGCCTTGTTCTCTACCTTTATTCCCCCTGAGTAAAGGGGGAATAAATGGGCAGTTAGGAAGGCTGTAAGTTTTTCTTCTCCTGTAAACTAAAGCCATAAGAAAAACCCAATGAAGAAGGTAAGTATCAGGCCACTGGACATCTTTTAAATTGGAGCCAGAAGTTGCCAGAAGTTTGGGGAGATGGGGAGATATCCAGCTGTACATCCTTCTCACAGGTCTCCAAAGAGATGATATGCCATCTGCCAGCTGTCACTAGGAGTGTGAAATTCATCTATATGTCTTCCAGTTTGTATAACTGAATACAAAATTCTGTTTAATTTGAAATTTTTGTGATTAAGAGGAAGGTACCCAGGAATCAGTCCAACATGTACTTGCCACTCTGACACAGGGAGCTCATAAAAAGGGGATTTGCATCTAGCACCTCACTTGTTGATCACATAGTGCTGAGCCCAATGCACCTTCTGGGGTCTCAGATTTGTTATCTATAAAGGACACTGACTTGGGAGGCTCATCATAACACATCATAGGCCTCCAAAAGTGGGTGCTGTTATTACAAATTAGGGGAGTGGTAGTTCTAGAATCCAGTCAAGGCATGAGGAGATGGAGCAGAGCAGAACCAGCTGGCTAGCCTCAGGAAGCAGACCTAGTAGGCTCAGCAGTTACCGACAAAGAGGTCGTCCCTCTCTCTTTCCACTAGAGAGAAAAGGCAAAAGAAAGAATAATGTAAAACTGACCTTGAGGGCAGGAATCTCCACACTGTCACCGAGGCTGATGGAGCCTGAGAGGATGGTCCCTGTCATCACAGTGCCCTGGCCTTTGATGGAGAAACAGTGGTCCACAGACATGAGGAATGGTCCCGAGGGATCTCTCGTTGGAATGGATATCTGGGACGTCAGGAGCTAGAAAAGAGATGCTGCTGTCACATTCTGTCGGAAGAAGACTGGATACGGCAGGGCAGAGGAAGGCAGAGGATATGACAGTGCCCAGGCAATCTGCTTTTTCTTTTTTGCTGACTCCACATGCTTCAACCTTAACCTGCCTATTTTCCTCATGCCATCTATGTGCTTAGGGATTACCATCAAAAAAATTAAATGAAGACCTTATTATTCCTTGTAGTTTGCTACTTTCTGTCAAAAAGTTGTTTGGTTATAAATGTTCCCAAGTCTTAATCTTGTGATAACAATTCTTTCAGAAAAAGACCAGAAATTCAAAGCAGGCTAGGCCTGAGATTTGTGGAGAGGCTTCTTAAAGGAATATATAGCCCTGGCTGCTGTAGTTCAGTGGACTTAGAGCTGGCCTGAGAACCAAAGGGTCACCAGTTCAATTCCCAGTCTAAGGCACATGCCTAGGTTGCAGGCCAGGCCCCTGGTGGGGGCCACACATGAGGCAGCCACACATGAATGTTTCTCTCTCCCTTTTTCTCCTTCCCTTCCCCTCTCTAAAAGTAAACAAACAAAATCTTTTTACAAAAGGAATACACAAACACCTGTTATAGCAATATAATTGTGGATTTTACTTTAACACACTTGTACCAAGCTCCCAGACCAGTGATCTCCGGAGTTGGTGAAAAAGTAACAAAAGCATTACCCAGAAAATATTGGTTTTATTAAGACAGCAAGATGAGCACCCCCGCGTAATTACAGAAATAGTGGTAGCACACAGTCACACCTGATCATGGCTCTGTGGATCCAGGCGGACCTGAGTCCACAAAAAGTCGAACTGGGCTTGAATCCTATCTCTACCACATAGTTGCCGTGAGACCTTGGGCAAGTTAATTAACTTCTCTGAATCTTAGATTCTTCCTACATAAAATGGGGATGAATAATTTCAGCCTCCCAGGGTCACTGAATTTTAATGATCTTGTATGTAAAGAACTTAGTGCAGTTCCTAGTATATGATAATCATTCCTCACCATCATAGTAAACTGAATAGCACTGTTCCAATCACATTATACACATTAACTCATTTAACCCTCATGCCAACGCCACAAGAAAAGTGGTGATATTATCTTCCCTGATTTCTAAGTAAGGGAACTGAGGCAAGGGAGAACAGGTCATGTGCCTAAGGTCACAGACAGAGCAGGAGGTAGGGCCAGCATGGCAAGCTGCCCAAGAGTCAATGCACCTCACCACTCCAGCCTTCTGAGTTGCCTCAAGTGCTCAGCAGAGGCACTTCAGATCCCAGTCTCATTGCCATTTCTACTGAAGCATCACCACCGCCTCCCCACCTGTACCACGCCTGCTGGCTACCCTGCGTACCCTGTGAAAGGCTGCACTCCCTCTGTCTACCACTACCTAACCTGGAGGAACACCTCTGGCCCATGGCTTCAGAAGATGAAGCCTCCACTGCATTGGTAAAAGCCACAGGACCTAAGCTGCACTGCCACTGCTACTAGGCCCATCTCCCACACCTGCCTCATGGGCCCCCACCCAGGTGGGACACACTGGAGGGGCTGGAACAATCTGAAGTACCGAAACAGATGACATCGACCCATTATTCCAGACTGACAGGATCTGCTTTGTCTGTGTGGAGGTGTTTGACAAGAGAAAGGAAAAAGAAAGGCTTAGAAGGGTGCAAGCCTTCAGTTCTGTTTGGGATTAACTTTTAGGGAGAATGCATTATAGACCATGGAGGTGGTTTAAAGGAACACCTCAAAGTCCCCTTGCTGAGGCTGTCTCTTTCTCTCTCAGGCTGAGCAGGACAGAGAGGAACCTGCCTGAGCAGAGTTGGGGCCAGAGACCAACCTGGATCCAAGTTGACAGTACCTCAATGAGCTCTGAGATGCCCTGTGGAGCTTCTGTTTCAGGGGCCTCTGGGCCCCCAGGCTTAGCTGCCACAGCTATAACTGGTGCACCTTGGAACCTGGAACAGCAAAACAAGACCCAACATAGTTAGATCATCAGCATGAACATAGAACACAGAACATCTGTGAATCACCTGGAAGACTAGTTGAGTACTCTGGGTGTTCTCTCCTTTCCTCCTTTCAGAAGCACCTAAACAGAGAGTGCCACTGCATTGTACTTGGCAGATGAGGAAATGGAGGCCCCAAAGGGAAATGTCTTATATTAAACAACAGATTTTAAAAGGATGCTCCTGGGTTTTAACCTCCACTTTCAGAACCCTCCCTGAGGAGGCAGCAGTAAACCCAGGCCCCCAGGCCTCTAAATTAACAACCCCTTAAAAAAGACCAATACATACCTTCTAGCCTCCTGCAGAGACTCAGGTCATAATGGCTACCAAAAAGCCCCTGACGATGCACCAGGGAAAGCATCTGTACCACCCCAGTCTAATGGAGGCCATTCCTCCTGAGACTTTGCGAGAGCCTCTTTTTCTTTAAGAAGAGACTTATCTTTTCTATTGGAAAAAAACGAAAAAGGGAAAATATACAACCCATTTTCCCATCACTGTGATGTGATGGGAACCAACCTTGGTTTTTCAACACATTGCCAAAAAATTATATTTTTAACATTCTGTTATAGTATGCACACAATTTCATATCCTAGTTTATTTGTCATTATATCATAAAGAATTTTCTGTTAAATGGCAGCAACTGCAACAATAACTAATTTGGCTGAGCCAAGTGTATACCATGGACACCTTCACTGAAACCTTACATCACCACTATGAAATTGTCACCATTTTATAGATGAGAAACCAAGGATTAGAGAGCCAAATTAATTTAGTCCAAGTCACTGGCTATAAATCTCAAAGTCAAACTCCAGTCTAGCCCATCTGATCCTAGAACCAAGGATCATAGTTTCTATGTTACCCTCCCTCCTTCCAAGGCTTCCTCTTTCAATTTTAACAGCTGCATAATAGTGTGATCCATAATTTACATGTTTTCCTTACTGTTACTCATTTAGAACATTTCAAGTATTTCACTATTATAAAAAATAACCCAATGATAAACACGGTAGACATGACTGACACTTTTTTTTTTTTTGCTTTTCTTCGGGATAAATTCATGGGGTATAAGTCTAAGACTCAACATACGTTAAAAAATCAGCAAAACGCAAAATGGTAAAGACATCCAGAAAGCCTCTCCTCCAGAAAAGCAATCAGAACAGTCGCAAAGTTATCAGAATAAACTTTTTCATAACTCTAGAAATTAACCAAAGGCTTATGGCAATCTGTGGAATGTTTACTCAAGAAAAATCTGAATCTCAGTAAGAATAAATTTTATAGCATTTTACTTTGCCTTATTCCCATTTACCCCTGCCCAACCACCATCTGCAAAGTGAAAACCAGTAGGCTGAAGGTCATTAAAGAATGCATAATGGGTTTGAATTCCATTAAAGCCCCTCTCCCAGAGGACAGTCATTATTTTGCCTATCTGGCAGTTTGCTGGAAGACCCCACTTGCCAGGCTATCCTTATCTGACTTGCTTTCCAGGCAAACAGCTTTTGGGGGGAGGGTGGACAACTGCCTCTGATTATTTTGTTGCAAATAATCAGAGGCAATTGTTTAACATTTGCCTGAGGCAAATATAACAGTTTGGCAAACAACAGGCTGACCATAAAGCTTAGAATTCTGGGACTCTAGGATACTTGCACCCATAGGGCTGAGGGCATGCCCAAGGCACTGTGCATAATCAAAAAATACCCGAGAAGGCCCTCAGCTCTGTTCACCTTGATATTCTATGCAAACAAGAAGTGAAAGTAAAGGCAGCATGTTAACTGCCTGCCTGAGCATTAAAAGCATGTCCCAACATGCACATAGAGACCCTTAGTAAAGATTGGGAGACATAATGGTTCCAGACATTTAAGAAAATTTCTAACTATTAGTTGACAAACTAAGGTAACTGGACAGAGGTTTCAGTGGTCACACATGACTTTACAGAATTAGTTTATAAAAGTTACTAAGAAAATAATAGCAAACTATGGGAGAAATATGGGAGGAGGGGAGAATCTTATTTCCAGTATTGCCATATTATATTATTTTAAGTGTCAAGTTTTCAACAAAGTTCACAGTATATGCAAGAAGACAAGATTATGACCCATAGTCAAGAAATAGAGTTAAACTGTTCCTGAGGAAGCCCTACTAGACAAAAACTTTATACCTTTTTCAGTAAAAAAAAATTTTTTAATTTTATTGGGGTGAATTGGTTAATAAAATTGTATGGGTTTTAAGTAAACAATTTTATAATAGATTATTTGTATATTGTATTGTGGGTTTACCACCCAAAGTCTAGTCTTCTTCTGTTACCACCTATCTGCTTTTACCCTCTTCTATCTTCCCCCACCCCCCAACCATTACTCTAGTAATCTTTTTGCTTAATACTTCCAAACTCCAACCAAACTCCAACCCTCCTCCCATCTGACAGCTGTCAGCCTGTTCTCTGTATCTATGAGTCTGTTTCTATTATGTTGTTTATTTTGTTCAGTAGATTCCACATATAAGTGAAATTATTTGGTTTTGTCTTTCTCCAACAGGCTTATTTCACTTAGTACAACACTATCCAGGTTCATCCATGCTGTTGTAAAAGGTAAGGTTTCCTTCTTTTATACAGCTGAGTAGTAGTAATCCTTGTGTTAATGTACCACAGCTTTTTTAATTCACTCATCTACTGATGGGTACAGGGGCTGCTTCTAAATCTTAGCCATTGTAAATAATCCTGTAATGAACATAGGGGTACATATATTCTTTCAAATTAGTGTTTCAGGTTTCTTTGGATATATTCCCATAAGTGGAATTACTGGGTCATAAGACAGTTGCATTTCTAATTTTTGAGGTATGTCCATACCGCTTTCCACAGTAGCTGCACCAATATGCACTCCCATGAACAGTGCACTAGGGTTCCCTTTCCTCCATATCCTCACCAATGCTTCCTGTTTGTTGAGTTATTGATTTGATAGCCATTCTGACAGGCATGAAATGATATCTCATTGTGGTTTTAATTTGTATTTCTCTGATGATTAGTGATGTTGAGTAACTTTTCACATGTCTATTGGCCATCTGTATGTCCTCTTTGGACAAGTGCCTATTCAGGTCTGTTGCCCATTTTTAACTGGATTTTGTTTGTTTGGTGTTGAGTTGTATACAAGGTTGGGGACTGCCCCTGAAAAATGGTATTATCTTCTGGAGGGAGGGCCCCTGGTAGTATAGGTTTCCACTACTGGTGGAGTATTGTAGGAATTCATCTGTATCAGTGTACACAAGCTGGTAGTGTTGTGAGAGGCTGTGTTTGGCTTCAGTGAATTTTTTTGAAGACTCTTTCAATATGTTTGCCCATTTCATGATGGGTGATTTAGGTGTGCAACTGTCCACACTGTACTAAGTGTTCAGCAGTTTTTGATAGAAACAGCATGACCCCCTTGTCCCACCCTCCCTATTCACCTGATCTCACCCCAAGTGACTTTTGTTTTCCCAGAAGAAAAATGTTCGTAAAGAGAAACATTTTGCAGATATAGAAGAAGGGGACCAAAAAAACAGCAGAAGCACTAAAAGGCATCAAAATCAATGAATTCAAAAATTACCTTGAGCAGTGGATAAAAAGTCTCAATAAGTATATCACATCAAATGGAGAATACTTTGAAGGTGATTGAAGTTTAAATGTGTAAGAATAAATACACAATTTTTTAATAAATAAATTCTGGGGTTTTGGGGGGTCCCCCCATAAGATCTTTATACATTTTACATATCAACCTCTTATCAGATGTATCATTGGAGAATATGTTCTTCCATTAAGTGGGTTGCCTTTTCATTTTCTTGGTTCCTTTTGCTGTGCAAAAATGTTTCTGTTTGATGCCTCAGTTGTTTATTTTTTCTTTTATTCAAGTCAGCGGTTTTAAGGATGTTCAAAGAAATAAAGGAAAGTATGTCTAAAGAAATAAAGGAAAGAATAAAGGTAATATCTCACCAAATAGAGAATACCAAAAAAGAAATTAGAAATTATATAAATTTGAACCAAATAGAAATTTTTGGTTCAAAAATTTAGAAATTATATAAAAATGAACCAAATAGAAATTTTGGACTTGAAAAATATAATAACTAAGTTTTGAAAATCCACTAGAGGAGCTCAATAGCAGCTTTGAGCAGGTAAAAGAATCAACAAACTGAAAGGTAGATCAATTGAGATGATCCAATCTGAGGAAAACAAAGAAAAAGAAAAAAGAAAGAAGAAATGTGAACACAGCCACAAAGATATTTGAGACATCATCAAATAACATAACCATATGAGAATTTCAGAAAGAAATGAGAAATAGGGGCAGAAAGAATATCTGAATAAACTTCGAAAACTTTCCAAATTTGACTATGAGATCCAAGGTGGAGGAGAAGTAAGTAGAAGCTACATGAACCCCCTCCCAGGACCAGTCTGGAATTACAACTAAATTGCAAAGACATTATCCAGAATAAACAAGTGAACAATAGTGAGAGAGAAGCATTACAACCACAGACAAAACCTTCAACACTACATGACTGATAGGGAATGCAGAGGAAACACGGGAGGGCTGGCTGGGCTCCCATAGGTGGCAGCTGAAGTGTTGGAGGAATACTGCAGCAGCCAGGGGGTGCTCCCTGATAAGTGGGGGGTCTGAACCCTAACCTGAGTTCTCCAGCCTACAGCACCAGAACTCCAAAAGAACCAAGGCAACATCCAGCTGTGAAAAGCAGCAGGGTTTCACTGTGCCAGCGACAGAGAGCTAGAGTCATAGAGAGCCATTTAAAGGACCAATATATAAAACTTCATTTGTAGCGGCTTACCCCTGGGCTTTAGCAAAGGCGAGGCAGAATGGACTAGACACTTGAGCAAAGACTGGGGACAGTGGCTTTGGGGAGAGAACTGAGAGAGCAGCTTCCAGGATCCCTGTGCTGAGTCATTCCCCATACTGCAGGAGCCATCTTGCTCAGGCAGAGCACTG